TCCCGACCCGGCCCCCTCGGTGCCGGCCGCTCGGAGGCCGGTCGGGCTCACACCCCGCCGGCGGCTGCCGGGCGGCGTCACACACCGGCGGCGGCTGTCGATATCTCCGCGGCGCGGTGCCGTCACTCGGGTCCGCCGTCCCGGAGACACCGCGAGCCGCACCGAGAGCCCGTCTGTGGCGGCTCGTCCGCGTGCAATATCATCAGTGGCCGGGAGCGCTCATGGCGCCGGATCCGCGGCGTTTCCGGCGCGCCGGAGACGACCGCTGCCGCGTGGGAGAGGAGCGGAGACCGGACTGACGTCCCCCGCGGGAGGTGACGAGATTTCAGCGACGCCGCACGCGGCGGGTGGTCCGGTGGAGGGTGCTGAGAGAGGTGGTGATGGCCGTGTGGGTCAGGCCGGGGATCAGGATGGTGGTGGTGGCGATGTTGCGTCAGTGGTACCCGATAGTCGGGCGGAAGGTGCCATTGATGAGGGTGAAACCGTGGATTATGGCGATACTGGCTGTAATAACGGTAATGACTGCAGGAAGAGTGGAGGTGACTTTGAAGGGGATATATTTGGATCTAATGGAGCCTCACCGGCTGAAGGCGATGGTTGGGTAGAAATGGACCCAGAAGAGTATATGGATGAAGAGGACAGTGACCTCTCGATGCTTGAGGAAGAAATGCAATCGATCTCGACAACAATGGATGCAAATAAAGTATTTGACCGTACGTTAGAAGATTCCGATACAACCCCAATCATCTTTCCATCGGCAGACCCACGGTCGGAGGGAAATTCGGGGCACAAGAACTGTCTCGGTGATCTCCCAACGTTTTTGGTTCCTCCGAAAATAAACCCGATCAATACAATAAACCGTAACGACCATCCAACGTCGACCGCATCTCCAGATTTTACCGAGAAACGCGACGAAACCATCACTATAACCCTCGAACAAATGACAGTCACCGAAAACATCAACACCTCCAGTGAGAACAACGATCAACCATTCGACCCCGACCGGAGCAAATCCAGCGCCATCCTCCTCGGGACGCCAGCGGATCGAGAGGACGAGGGGCGGGGGCTCGCCGCCGGCGCCGACCTGCCCTTCTACATCGTGGTCGCGCTGGCGGCCGGCGGCTGTCTGCTGATCCTGGTCACGGTCTCGACGGTGGCCGTGAGTCGGCGGCGACGGGCGGCGACGCCCGCGCCGGTGGCGGGGTCCGTGTTCGAGCCGGAGCCGGGCGACAGGGGGCCAATCGCCGAGCTGATGCGTCAGAACCGGATGGACCACCAGGCGGTCGTGCCGGCGCCGGTCAGTCTGTGACCAAAGACTAGTGGTTTGATCAGTCTGTGACTAAAGACCAGCGGTTTTATCCGTATGTGACCAAAGACGAGTGGTCCAGTCTGTTACCAAAGACAAGTGCCGTACCGAGGGCTCGGCAACAGTGATATACACGTAGATCTGTACAGCGAGTGTGGCGTGGCATGCGGCGAGATATTATGGCATGTGCGTGTCTGCGTGCGTGTGCGTGGTGTGTGCTATGTCGCATGTGTTCCAGAATCCAGATAGCGACGTTCTGTCAGAGACCTGTTGAGATATGATTGCGAGCTTTTGGGGTGTAAAGGGTGTAAGTTTTCTTTTTTAAGAAGTGTATGCATAGCCCATAATCACTTTACAATAAATGCAGCAGTGCCAGCAGTGTGGATATTTGTGTAGAGTGTAACAGCTGTGCCGTGGATGGGTGCAAGTACACCGCCAAATCCAGGGTCTAATTTTGCACCGACCTCACTCAACTAAATATATTATAAGCATTTTTGGCATGTGCAGGTAAATCATTTTGTTAGATTAAAACCATTTGAATTGCTTCACGAAACATTAACCATAACCTTTATTTGGTTCATTCTTTGCGCTGCTCCTTTATTTTCGTTGCGCTTTTTTTTGGTCAGTGTTTTTTTTTACACACGCTGTTAGATATACCCCCGTTCTAATGATGCTGAATACAACTGCTCATAGTATCAAGTTCCACAATCCACATAGTACAACTTGCAACGTCTGCAGTGCTCATAGCATCCTGTCAGCTGCCGGTGGCAACTGCTGGTGTCTGGCAGTTTCTCAGTTGCACGTGCAGACATATCCGGTCCCTATCGACGAAAGCTCTGCGCGCACTTCCGCAGCGGCCAGCGGCTGGTCAGCACCCGGGTCACGTGCTCACCGCAGACCGTGTGGAGGGGGAAGGCACCCCAAAACTGCCCCCCCCCCCCCCCCCACCTCTCCTGTCCGCTGCGCGCCCTCAGGCCACGTGTCCCGACTGCGGAAAAAGCGGCCGCCACCGCGGGACGCGATGACCCATGCGGGTGATCGTGGGGCTAAATGGTGGCGGTCAGGTGACAGTTTGGATCGGCGGGGAAGTTGGACTGGGTCAGAGCGGAGCGGGGAAGTTGCGACACGACCTGGAACATGTCACAGGTCACGGGGAAGGCAAAACAGCGCGATCACCCTGCAGCGCGAACTCGTGGCTGACATGCACTGGAGGTTGGTACGGGCGTATAATGTAGGTCCAGATGTTATTCAGCCGTGCATAGTTCAAACTTCAAAGGATGGTCGTCGGTCGACGCTCAACTTGTCCTGACGTTTTGAGTGGTGACCGAATTCCAGTTGACCTAGTCACTCAAAGTTACATTTAGACCGAGTATCATTTTGTGCTGTTCTATGGTTACCGAGCTCTCGACAGTTAAGCACAAAACTTTTTTAAATTTATTATAAGTGTTTTCCTAATCTGATATGTTTAGTTTTATATTTACATGTAAGAGGTGGTCGTTAAACACAGCCCACAGGGATGCCACGGATTCAGCTCCCTAATCAATCCATCTTCTCAGTTCTCCCCCGCACACGGCAGTCGGTTCAGGGAACAGGAGTCAGGACAGACAGGGAGTACTCGTAGGTAGAGTGTTTACTGTTTACCATCCGACCGTCACCGGTCGGGTCAATAACTGGTGTTTGACAACTCGGTGGACACTGGATACTGTCGGCTGTTACTCAGGTCAAGGAGGGGTCCATGATGGGTCCATGACACCAATGGTCACTGTTTTAGTGCCACCAAAATAAGATAGAATAAGCTGCACACGCTTTGTCTAAACTCGTTGAGTTATGCGATATGATGCCTACTGCACATAAGGCCAAAAGGGCCAAACAAGTTAAAGTGTTCGAGTCAATACTATTCGGTAATCCTTTGGCAAATATGACCTGCTATTTTAAAACATTCCAGATATTGGAATCCACTATACACACACTCGTGCCATATGGCATGACGTTTGATGATCAGTTTGGCAAACGCTTTATGTGGGATATGTGGGTGGGCATTAGTGACTTAGCCACGACATTCAATGGCCCTATTTGCCAGCCCTACTTTTAGCCTGACAATTAGGTACGTTATATTTGTATATAGCACATTGACATATCGCTCGATTCAAAACTGAAAATAGGTAGTACTATAGATTAACTTTGAAACGACCTTCTCCTTGATATTATGTCAAAAATGAAAGAATGGGCTGATCTGATGATGGGCTGTGCCCGAATGCACATGTAAATAATTCTTTCATTTTTGACATAATATCAAGGAGAAGGTCGTTTCAAAGTTAATCTATAGTATTATCAATGCTCCTTGCAAAAGCACTACACGATGAAAATAGGTAGGTACGCCTGTGAACGTCATGTGACCAGATGATGTTTTTAGTAGGTATGACGTGACCATACGGCAACACCGTCGTGAGCATAAATCCTGTTTTTATTTTTGCGTTGCATAAAAACGCTATTTGGCGCTACGCAACGACCCCACATCTTCGCCATAAAGCCGCTTCATATATCACAGGGAATCTTGTCCTTCATACAACATGTCTACTAAAGTGCTCCCTAAGCCCCTGGCCTAATGTGGGCAGGGTTATCTGCGGCGGGAGAGCTGCCCACTTCAGCCGCCGCCGTCCGGGGGCGCCCGCTCACGAGCTGCAGCTCGCCGTTAGCTACCTCAAAGGCGGCAGAGTCCCTGTCGTCTGCGGCGGCGACACCGCGCTGATGAACTGCTGATGAAGTTCCTGACTTGTTTTAATGGCATCCTAAAACTTTCTGAGACGTCGCCGCCGCTTCACTGCATGGTGGTGTACAGTATCATGACTTTAAGCGCCAATGATCATTCAATAGGTCCTTCCCTCCTTTCCAGTTCATGTTATAAAAAGAGAAGAAGTTGTTGTATTTCTTGTTGAAATAGATTGATGGTTTCACCGTTTATTGCCCCCTCAGCCTGCTTACGTTGCATGAACTAAACGCTCAATAGATGTAAGACAACTTTGTGCCGTTGCCATAAGGATACTTCGCCCAGACGTTATAACTTCAATATATTCACGCTAGCGATTTTAATGACGCGTATGTATACCTCAATAATGCAACGATGCAAACCAATAAGTTGAATGAGACACTGGCAATATCAGGTAGCATTGATCAACGCCGTCACCCGATCAGCCGGGAGTGGTAGCAGCCTCTGCCGGGAGTTTCGAGAGATCTGCCGGGAGTTTGGAGAGATCTGCCTGCAGCGCACCAGGTAGTCACACTATATGATCCATTAGGCAGCCACCCCTCCGTGCACTCTGAGCGACACGCCACACCCGACCGTGAACTGGCTCGTGCTGTCCTCAGCGGGACTGTGATGAACGGCGGGACACTCGTCACCTGGAGACCCTCGGAGAGGCTGCGGCGCAGCGCCCGGACCGGTCGCGCGCCGCTCGACCAGCTCCAAATGACTGTATCAGTGCGGTGCGACGCCGGCATCATTCACCCGTCCGCTGGCAGCGCCGCCGACTCTGTGACCTAATCACCCGCACTTGACTCAATTCATTTCTGGGTTACACCAAGACCCGAAGCTATTGATTCTCGGCCTTTCGGCGTCTGAATTATGGCCGCTGCGGTGGCGCCTCGCTGCGGCGGCCGCTGGAAGCTCGGCCGGAGCGCCCCTGGCCGGCCAGTGTGTGTCACAGACCGGGCCGGGGATGGCGGCACGCGCGGCTGACCTGTGACCTGACCCGACCGGCCGGCATGGCGGTGCGTCTGGGCGGCCCGCTGCCGCTGCTGCTGCTGCTGGCCGTGGCGGCCGCTGCCAGCAGCAGGGACGGTAAGGAGGACATCCATATCGCCGGCTTCTTCCCTATGACGGCCGGCGAGCTGGGCGTCGTCAGCGACGGAAACGACCCCGGCGAGCTCGGACGGGGCGTCATGCACGCCGTGGAGCTGGCCGTCAAACACGTCAACAAGGCCAGAGACGTGCTGCCCAGCGTGCGGCTGCACGTCACCTGGAACAACACCCAGGTAGGTGGCGGCCCGGCGCCGCGGCCGGCGGGCGGACAGGGCGCGCGTGAGCGTGTGTCTGTCGTAACGGACACAGACTGCAGTTTGTGGAGGCGGAACACGGGAGTCCGTGGTAGTTTTGTACCGGGGTAGGATCACTGGCGCTGGTCGGCGTCCGGCTGCAAGTTTGCTATATATTGGGCGCCGAAGTTCTAAATCAAATTTAAGTTTACGACGGCTCGTCGATTTGACATTGACGTTGATGGAAGAAGAGTCGGCTATTAGGTTTATTGATTGATGCTATCCACTGCCGAAGGGCTGCAGTCGGTCATCCCCGCCACTGGGCTAATCTGATTTCGGACGAGTTATTCGCGAAATGACTAGATAAGACGTATGCATTTTCCATGCACTCCAACCGGTACGTGATCAGGGCCGATACGGCTGCCTCGGGTGGAACCACCCTGCTGCAATATTGATGCACTGAAACTCCCTTCCGTGCCGGGGACAAAGCTGATGGGAAGGGACTTCATAAGTCCTGGGAGCTGATTAAACTGTCGACAAGTGGTGGCACCTCCCATCCTTGAAACGAGTGACCGTTCTAAATGGCATACATTTTAGTAAATAATTGAAAAACGTATTTCCCATGTATTTGCTTTCTATGCCCTGAGGTGTAATTTTTGTAGGCATGTCTTTACTTGGAATTTTATCTTTTTAGATACCGCTTTTGTGCAGTGGAGGCATGGCACTAGGCAGGAAAAGGTGACCGAAATAGCTGCTTAAGTTTGCTTAATTAGAACTTTTTCTTCGAAAATGGCTATAGTCTCCTCCTAAGCATCTGTTTGTATAACAGACTCCAATTCATGCATCGTCCTTCGACTATAGATTTATACCTAAACTAATGGTTGAGATAATGGGCGAGTTCCATTACTTGAAAATCATTTTGGATACATGAACGCGCATATACCTAACAAGGAAACGGAATGTTTGTTTCAAAAACCTAACGTGTATAAAGCTAAAAAAAAAACTGCAGAAGAGGACAAAGCTGCTTTCTGTGCATAAGTGGATGCATAGACCACTATATACCACTGTATAATGCATATAGTGGTCTATGGTGGATGAAATAAGATGTTGATCATGTGTTGACGTGTACCTATACCGAAGGTTCTTTTAATCCGCAATCGTAAACATTGACTGTCGAAGAAATACGCCTGCCTCATTGGCTCACGTTATCAATCAAAAATGATTTCCTTTTCGACGGAGGTAAGAGCTTGCTCCTAAGTTGACGAGAGACCAAGTAAAAGAGGAATTTTGCGCCCACCGTCAATTGAAACACGGGAATCGAGCTGACCACCGGCGCCGCTGCACTGGGGGCTAATGCGGTGCGAAATGCCGGTGCTGCTCGCGCCGGGTCCATCTGGCCGGGGCCGGTTTGACAGCCGGGTCGCGCTGGCACCATTGTGTCGTCGTGTCCGGTGGGCGGCCACCCTCTATGGACCGGCCATGGCGCCGAGTGGCTGCTTCCGCCGCCTGCCAGCCCTCTCCCCGAGCCATTCCTGGAACCGCGCGCGCCGCGCCCACCAAATACCACCCCCAGCCAGCCGTCCCAGCGACGCCGCTATTATGAGCCGTCAAACGCCTTAGTTTGCCGACTTAAACGGCACGATCCCCTGCGTCAATTTGAGACGGGCCCGCACGAAATGATGATTTACGTCCATTAAATGCCAATGATGTGCTGAAAGTCGAGATAAGCATAAAAGCGTCCCACCAATGCCATGGAAGATCCCTTTAACGACGCAATTAACGGGTTGAATTTATTTAAACCATCTCGCATTTGGGGAACTTTTCCAGAATGCCCGTTTTACTATGACGCTGTTATTTGATTTCATGGAATGCAGGCACCTCAGTCCATTTCATTGCACATCGAAAGTTATAAAACGGGCATTCCATTTTGAAACCAAGAACAATAAAATATCATTCAAGGCAAATAATTTCATTTGTTCTGTTATGGGATCGAACAATGTTTCAATCAGTGAAAAGTTGCTGGAGCGCTACTGCTCCTGCCCAAAGACCGGGTCCATAGTCTGTGCTCACTGCACAGCGCCATAGAGCGCGGCAGAGCCGGACCGCGCACATGAATCAAACGACTAATGAGACGAAAAATCGCCTTCCGCCCGGCACTCGCATTTTCCACTGCACTGGCAATGTTGAGATGTTACTTGCGCCCTTGAAATGACTTTCAGACGGTGGCGAAACGTGACTTTCATAAATGGTCCTGCGCAGAACTGCGAAAATTCCTTTCCATAGTGATGTCGGATGGCTCTGCCGTCTCTGGAACGCTGCCATTAGCGTTGGTACCCATAACGTACCAACGCACAGACACTTGCCAAAAAGTTCGAGAGGACATGTTTTGGCCACCTGCGAACGCCTTTACTCAACGCTGTTAATTTAGAAACGCATAACGTTAGAATCTCCTTACAAATTTTTCTGTAGTCATCGACACGTGAATCAATGACCCCTTATTTATTGCTCGTGTGATGAAGATTTATGTGTTTACGAGTGCTTATTTGCTCATCATCGCCGTCAGAAAACATTCCCTTTGTAGGCTACAATGCCGCATAACTGAGCTGGAAATATTTTAAGACATACAATTATTGCACGAAGCTCATATTCTCACAACGTACAGGGTGTCCGGAATTTATTTGTTTATTAACGATTAAAAATTATTTGCCCTCTGTTCATTTAGCTATAATCCACCGTGCGCTTTAAGAACTGTTGAAATATTGCTTAGACCGTGCCTCAAGCTATCCACAGGGCCGTTAGTCACATGACCTAACCCGGTCACCTAACCTTGACACTTGCGAGGCGCCAGGGGCCAGTGTTTGGCAGGCGTAACTCGCACCTGAACGTGGTGTCTGCTATGACGAAAGAAACTCTTTGACAAAGCGTCATCGAGCTGATGTATCCCAGTCGAAAACATATGGGAAATCATGAAGGAGGAGCTCAGCAAGATTGAACCAGCTCCCACAGAAAACGGACTTTAGAGGAGCCTGTGAAAGGTGTGACTGAACATCAGCGCGGATATTCTGGACATCTTGATCAATGGAATGCCAAAGCCGATGAGGGAATGGATGTGACAGGGCAGGGGATAAATCGGTACATAAACCATGACCCGGTGGCTCTTTGTTTATTAATTATGGCGGCAAGCTGATGGAGGGGCAAATAATTTCCGGACACTCTGTAACCAATTTATCGATTCGACCAGCTAACTATGCACATTTGAATTAAAAATGTCTGAATCTATCTTTTCATGCCTTTTGTTCCTACCTTTTCTATCCCAGCCAGCAAATCGGAGCTTTCCCCGTACGGGGAAGGCCTATGACGAGCTTGGGGCGGGCTCGGGGAAACCCCAACCGTTCTCCTGGGGAAAACGGAGCGTTCGCTTGGGATTTGAGACACTTTGTACGGGGAACTTTGTGCGGGATTCGTACGGGGATACGGTATAACTGCCCAAGCGTTCCCCAAACGTCCCCCAAGCTACCCCCGCGCCGACTATTGTTAAAACCCGTTGTTAAGGTCGGTTCCCCGTACGGGGCTATCGAACATTTTCCCCAAGAAGATCCTGTGCGAGCCCCGCACATTCCCCCACCCGGCTATACTGGTTTATGCTTACTGGAGACCTTCCCCGATCGGGGAAACCGTGATTTTCCCCTAACGTTCCCAGACCTTTTCCCCGCGCGAACCCTGGCCGTTCCCCGACTTGGCAATGGCCCCACTGCCTTGTCTGCTTTTTTCCCCGTATGGAGAAGCCAGTAAAAAACCGCACTGGGAAACAGATCGGGTTCCATTAAAATTGACAATGACTATTTATTTTGTCTGTAAACATACAAATATTTGTATACACATTCTTGTTTATATACAAACAAAATTGTCCACTTGTTTTCCCGCAATAGGGAAACGATAAAACCACACGAGAAAATAATTAGAACCAATCCATTTGGCCATGCCTGTTTATTTCCAGACTTTCAGGACGCTTCAACGACTAGATCAATACACAACAGTCGGCCAAGCATGGTATGTGTCTGTACCACCACAGCCTATACTATTTTTATGTGGAGTCCTTCATTTGATGAAAGGTTAACATACTTGATTTACTCGTTACAAATCAAGACAAACACTAAAAAAAGTTATTGTTCACTCAAAATACATTGTGAACGCTTAGCAGGTGGCAAACATGACATACAGCAGCAGCACAGCAGTGACAAACAACTGTTGACGAACACGAGCACTGGTAACCGGTCTAACCCCAAATCTAACACGTCGAACCCCAGTTTTTCCTCTGCAGTAGGAGTCTGTTCAGCAGCTTTAGAACGACGGCTTTGCTGTAGTCTCCCTACAGCTGGTCCCGCCTTCCGTTCATACTGCCCTGGATCCACAACTCGAGTCTTCCTTCTGGCTGTTTCAGACACATCTCAGCGGTCAGCTGCCGCTGGGAGCCACCTTGCTATGATCCATGTCCCAGCGCATCTCCAGGAATTCTGCGACTGTGGACAAAACAAAAATATGTGCACTTGTAGGTAGGTATATCAATCAGGTTTTACAGCTAGCTACTACATGGAATGTCCTTATATAGAAACTTCAGCTTACGCTGAAACATGTTGAATGCCATTTTATGAAATTACAATTATTTATAACTTTTTCCCCACGAAAAGTGCTTAGAAATTGATTGTGATATAATTTAAATAGTTAATTAAAACAGGAAATAAAATTTCAATAATTAAATTTGTACTTCTAAACATTTCTCATTCCAGGCATAGGCGTAGGAACAGGGGGGGCCGGGGGGGCCATGGCCCCCCCCACTTTTCAGCCATTTTTTAAACTAAAATCTTTATTTTTGATTTAAATACAAAACTAAGAGCAGGAAATGGTTCAGCAAGGTGAGATGAGTACAAAACTGCAAAGAATTTCTTCATAGGGGTATTGGGGCTCCCACAAAGTGACACTGAAGTTTCGCTGGCCCCCCCACTTTTCGTGAGGCTCCTACGCCCATGATTCCAGGAAAAGTCATTAGGTAATAAATGTTCTACGTCTATATTACGCCTTACGAAGTTCCTCGCGAAAGCACTTGACAGATAAATGAACGCCGTTTGACAATTAAAATCGGTTGCTAGTGAATCAAGATAACAATGAAGTGCCTTTCACAAGCAGAGCTGTCTAGTAGAGCTGCTGAAACAGGCTGTTTCCGAAGACAGAAAATGGAGTGCGAGAGCCTATTCAAATGCATGTTATTTATTACAATCGCGTCAATCGTTCGCACATCCCTGTAAGCGGTTGATGCGATCGTGATAAGAAAGAGTGTAAAGAGTGTGTCTCAGCCTTAAGACTTGGATGAAGGACAGGTTGTTCAACAGCTCTAAGCTAACCCCCCCCCCCCCCCAAATAATGTGCTTACCAGCTTCGGCTGGAAGTCGCTCTTCGGTTGCTCATGCGAGCAATTACGCATTAACTCCACGCCGGGTCCATACTGCTGTTGTGGGTTCTGCCAAGTCCCGTCGGAAACCTTCCGGTCGTAACCGGCAGACGTCCCTCTAGAACAGAAGCAGATGAAGCATTATAGGCTGATTACATTATATTGTCCGGGCAATTTAAGGATAATCTCAGACGGAGGTTGATGACCTCAGTCATTTTTACGTCATATTCTGCATATCCTAGACAGTGATCAAGATATTGTGTGTATCGAAAGCTTTGTCTTTTACAATAAACTTAAGTTAGTATCGTCATTTTATATCTGTCATGGATTCGTTACAATTAAGTGCTTTAGCTCATTACCAACACAGCATAGCTTCCTCGTCGAGCTGCGTCCTCCGTTGGTGCCGAGTCCAGCTTCTCACGCACTGACCCCAGCGGTAGATCACGACTTTGGGCACAGGTCCGTCAAGCGGTCACCACATCTCGCCGTTCACCGTCTTCGTTCACAGCTCTGTAGTGTCGCCGCACTCTTCAGTGCCAACCATGGTCTGACCTGGAGCGGTACCTAGCCCACGGCTTGCTAATGCTCACACAACCGCGCGGCGCAGTGACTCTGGACCGACTTCCCCCGTTCGTCCCGTCTGACGCGTCGGCACGGCCCCATTCACGATGACAGATGGCGACAGGAAACGCCCCCAACCAGATGTGCGGACGGAACCGACGGCGGCCGGTCGTTGCTACCCCTCCCTCCCCTCCCCTCGCTGCGTTGAGGCGACACTTCTAAGTCGTAAGCAATGTGTTGTTGAAATTTTGATGCTTTTGTAATTTCAATGCGATGAGTGATGACAGAAGAAAGAAAACGTAATGTTTATGCCACAGCAGTGCGGAAAGAAGCATAGATCCTGAAAGTTGTCAAAGTTGTTTTTACCTCATGAAATAAGGGCACCAACGTTCGTTCAAAGTAATGACGTGTGCGTGTCCTCATCCTCATGGCTTAAGGCCCCGTAAACCAAGACGGCTTTACCTCTCTTTTAGGTCGAAAATTACATAGATGAAATGTCTACAAATAAATGTCTGCGAATAACCGTTTTCATGATAGGAAACTGGTACACAATTGGTAGACATTTGGTCCAGATACGGTGCCGATTTGATCAATTAATCATTAGACATTATTTTCGAATAAAACACTGAAATAAATAGGTATACCTATGATATGAAGATATGAAAGAGATTTGGTGCAAATTTGGTCAGGTTTGATGCATTCGCCAGATCACCTGTCATGAAAACGATTTTAAAAAAATCGTTATATCGTTATATCGTTATATCGTTATAAAAATCGTTATATCGTTATATTTTTTTATTATATCTCCCTTCAATCGATGCATGAGCCTATAGCTCTAGAACTGCTCCTAAGACTGCTTTTAGCATTCCCAAGATGCAATTTTTCTTTGTTGAATACTTGTGGAATTACATTCTGGAAGTCGATCTCAAGCCGTCCTACTGGCGGTTGGGATTCGTCTGGGGATTAAGTGTAAAATCCCGAGCGGGAAATTTCAACAGTTCCCCTACTTATCCCCAATCAAACTGTTCAAGAAAATGGGTCGGGGATAACGCACCCTTCCCCGTACGGGGAATCTGATCTTTTACCCGACCGAACCCCAACAGTGGGGTTTGATTGGGGAATGCTGCTCTTTCCCCGTACGGGGATCGGTATGATTTCCCCATGTCTTTTGAACATATTACCGATATAGTCGGGGAAGGGATGGGGAACACGGACCGTCCCCCGATCCGATAGGGGAATTGTACGTTCTCCCCAAGCCTTCCCCAACACTATCCCCGCACTTTCCCCAACCGAATTGCTGGCTGGGATTTTAACTCATTAGACCGTATTCATCAAGGCCTCTCATTACCGGCTACACTCGACAACAGCGACGAACCATCAATGGTCAGACGCATCAGACAGTTCCAAAGTCACCGAAATCATTCGATGCTGCGACACAAATGTTCCTAGCTGCCACAGCACACGTCACAAGTGCACTGCCAACGATTCACGTCACAACGAATGTGAGTTCTAGAGATGCAGCATACCCTATCCGGGCACAATTTTCTTTTTTCTGCTGTGAGTATTGAATAGTAAAATTGCTGGAAGTGTATAATAACTGGAAAGCTATGTGCATCTTCCTTTAGGGGCATTCCACGTCAAATCAAACACCGAAATCCGTCATCCCCTTCGATTTTTCTGAAAATTTGTAGGCAGACTGGGCATGGTTCAAAACTGAGTTACGTGTAATATTTTCGAAATTTGATAACGTATCGCCGAGATATAGGTCATCGAATATAGCCAAACATGCCACACATCATTTTTTTAAATGCTTATAACTCTGGTTCCTTTTCTGGTATCAAAATGATATTAACAGGGTCTTGTATGCAATTGATAAGGCTTTGATTTTTAATTATAAAATTAAATTGAAGTGACCTTGAAATGCATTTGACCTTGAATTAAAACAGAAAAATTTAAATAGCAAAAAACACGCCACCTTCGATTTGAGTAATTTTTACATATTATGTCCGTCACAATGTTCCTAACCATATGTGAAAAAATTGGAGTGGGCCATTCATAACTTTCGCGGCAAACGCCGTTTTCATGCATCAACATCACGCAACCGCGCGTGACCTTGAAAGACAGAGTCAAGACATGCTTGCTTGTGTACACTTTCTGAAATGAATGATTGCTGATTAGTGATATCCCAAACTCTGCGAGAATGGAAATGCATAGTCATCGTAGTCAAGCATTCACGTTCCATTGTAAAAGTGTCTCAGGCAAACGGTATTTTGCGGTGAATTTTGAGCCGTGTGGAAATGCATCATGAAATAAATTCAACGAAAACATTATCACGCAACGATATCTTCACGTCTTTTGATCTTCACTATACGAAAGAACATACATTTTTGAGTATGTATGGGGAATTTCTAGTTAATCCGATAATAAATATGGCAGTTAGAGTCCTGCTAAGAGTAACATGTCGCCGGCTGAGGCGGGATCGGCCGACGCGGGAAACGCAGCAGTCACAATTTTGTGTTTACACGTTCATATTTCAATTGTTTACCAACCTATTTTCAGAATTCTTTCACCATAAGATTGCCTGTACATTTCTTAGTCTTCTCACAAAATTTGACGCGAATCGAACGTAATCAGCGGTAAGGAGCGCGATGTAAAGACGGAACCGTTCCGTTCCGTCCCGGCACAGTCTACAATTCAGGCGGCGCGTAGCGGTCGGCGCCGGCTGCCGAGTCGCCGCGTTGACAGGATGTTCACTTTACACCGCTATTACTAGAACAGTTGTGAACCGATTTTCTTATGCTTGCACGATGAGATGTGCAATTCAATTCTGGATAGGTAGCCATAAGTAATTTCGCATCAATATTATGAGATATTGGCGAAAAACAGGAGGGGTGGGGCGAAATTCACTCTTCCCCCTCCACTGCGCGTGCTAACATACGTTTGCATATGTGCCATTTTCTTCAAAACTTATGAATGGCCACTCTAATTTTTTCACAGGTTGTTAAGAATATGGTAGGCAATAAAATATATGAAAATGAGCCAAATCGAAGGTGGCGTGTTTTTTGCTATTTCAATTTTTGTGATTAAGAACAGAGTTAAGCAAATTTCAAGGTCATATATTTAAGTCGATGCAATTCTAAACAAATGCTTAAGAAATTACCTAAACAGTAAGGTTTATTTCATTCAAATCAAACAAGTACAACCAAAGTTATGGTCGTTCAAAAATATAAAGATGCAACATTTTGTAAAAATTTGATGCCCTATATTTAGAAGACCTGTGGTCAGAATGTGCAAAAAACATCAATTTAATGTCCAGGGCGACACAGGAACTCGCTCACAAATTTATAATGAAATCGCTGATGGTAAGGTGCAAAACAACCGATTTTGGTTCGATTTGACGTGGAATGCCCCTTTAGTAGTCGTCGGCTTATTTCGTTTTGTTCAGCGCAAATACCGTACCTAAGGCAATCATCACAGAAATTGCGTCACCTGTATTGCAATGTAGCACGCAAAATCCATGGGTGTAAGTGCGTTCTTTGGCTACGCATTGCGGGCGCGACCCGGCGTTTATAGCTTCCAGTAGGAAGGTACATACCGGGTGGCCCAAAAAAAAAAAACGTTCCGAACTTTGGAGGCCTATATCTCAAATTAAAGTGCAAATAACGGGCCAAAATTTTCATCCAGTTTGCGTCACTTCTTTGCGCATTGGTATGCCAAATTATAACACTGTACCATCATTTTCAAGCCAGCAATCTTATGTTGAATGAAGCAAGACGTTTTTGCTTTTTTTGCTGTTGTTGAACGGAAGTAATGATTGGCTTAGACGTACCATGTTAGAAAAAATACAAAAAATAGAACAACGTGAATGATACCAGCGCGTGTGTTGCTATTTTAGATATTTTTGTCACACTTATGTGCCAAATATTCAAATACTAAGCCAAAGTTGTGTTAATGGATGCCATTCGTTTCAACACAAGTCCTGTTTCGAGGCGAAGCCGAGTGGCACGGTGCATGGGTTACTGCTGATCGCCCTCCCTTCAAGAAGATCAAATAGTAAATCGACCGAATAAGGAAAAAAGCTAGAGGGAATGTGTCACCCTGAGGCCTGAACCACCAATGAGACTAGTTGCCAGTAGCAGTCATGGCTGTAGGCCGTGGTGCCGAGATGGAAGTGGCCCGTTCATTCATATTTTTGGTAAACATCAGAGCAAAAAAGTGATTTTTACATGGCATGCTAGAAACACGAACCGTTTAAAAAGTAATTGACCGAATAACATGAAAATCATACCATTCACTGAAAATATATGTCGCATTGACTATTGGAAGTTTCAATGTTGTATCTTTATCACTTTCTGAGAAATATTGATTTAAAATTGGGAACGTTTTTTCTGGGCCACCCGGCCACCCCACCGGTACATTCGTGCTCCTGTGCACTCGCATTCGACTCACCGCTGCATGAGTGCAGAACGTGGTGTCTTTATCGTTTTTCTGTTTGACTTTTTGCTAATGGCGCTCAAATGATACGGGTTGTATAGCAGTTATCCAAATCCGAGGCGTATCATAACGTAAGTGCGTGCCCGCGGTTGCACGAAATCTCAGTAAAACTGGAAATGCAATCTGCACGGTGACTATAAATAGCAATCTGTTCATAAACCAACTTATTATGCTCGCATCGTTTTTGTAAAAACTGATGCCACGAGCTCGCTGTTATCCGCTGGTGCCTGGGGAATTCGCTGTGAACGTCAACACAACAATATCAGATATCAGATTTGTAATAGCATCAAACAGAGAAATCGGTCAGATCAGCTAGTTGGGCTCCGGACTGTGTTACCAGGCCTGTCTCGTGCCCGGCTGTGGCCGCTCTCCATTGGTGATGCGCGCGGTGCAGCCGCCGGTCCGTCTGATATCCATAATGCGCGCGGTATGAGGTGGGAAGCTGTGCCGATTGTTTGGCGAGGCGCCCGCAGGGGACGGGACGGGACGGGGACGGGGCAGGGGACGGGGAGGGGTGAGCTCCGGTCGGGGTCGGGGTCATCACTGGGACCACCTCCTCAACCAAAGCAGGATGGATTCGGAATGACAATGCTTGCGTTGTATGGATCAACGGCTTCTTATTTA